CTTCGATACCCACGTCTAGCAGGTAAGCGTTCCCGGTGCCTTCCTCGGTGCCTCCGCTCGCTGGCAGGGGTCATGGAGGGTCTCCGCAACTCCTGTCCCGACAGCAGCCCTGACGGTCTGGACGGCGTCGACGGTGGCCGGGAGCTGTCCGAAGAGCGGTGCGGGGATCGATCTTCAGAGAGGGAACTGCGGCTGCTCGGAGAGGTCTGGTGGGCACCCAAAGGGGGCTTGCCCCGCGACCTAGGGCCCATACCCGATTGCGAGCTCGGGACGGGCAGGAACATAATGTCCTTCGCAGCCTACACCACCTCTGGTGTTGACAGCATCTGTACCGGTGGGGATGCCTGGGTCGATGGTACCGGGCTGCTCCGCTCCACACGAGTCGGAGCCTTAGAGCCCTGGCGGGATCAAGGGCTGCCCAGCGCGGGACCAGCCTCCCCCTTGTCCTTATCGTGGCAGCGTTGCGAGGCCGAGCCCTTCCCTTGCTTTTTGGAGGGAGAACAGCACCGACTAGTCGAAGGGGCCTCGCTACATACCGACGACGCGGTGGCCGAGTCCAATCTGCGCATGGGCGTTGGAGTCAGTGCCGACTCCATCAGGAGAGCTCGAAGTCTGAAGTCTCTCTCCTTCTTGGTTCTTGGCTTGAACGACCTACAGATCTTGCAACGGTCGCTTGTGTGAGTCTCACCCAGTCAGTGAAGACAGTCAGCGTGAGGGTTGCTCCTGGGCATAGAGCAGCGACAGGAGTCGCACGACTTGAAGCCTGGGGCACAGGGCCTGCCCTGAGCCCGCTCTAACGACTGAAGAACAATGTACAACGCTACCACTACAGTCGAGAAGAAGGGTTACAGCAGAGCTGAAGAACAAAAGTTCTGACTACCTTCACTGGCGGCAAGAAGGAACTGAGGGTGGGGGGAGCCCCTAGTTCCCCTTATAGCACGATATACCACTCCAGGGGTCACAGTGGTGCTCCCCCAGTACAGGTACTGCTAAGGGAAAAACTTCCGGCACTGGTGCACATGGCGAGCACGCACACCTACTGTGGAATACACAGGAGCAATCACTCGAAGAAGAACTCATAATTTGCTGATCATTATTGTCCTGGTGAAATATGTGTGGTAGCATTGTATGCAAAGTTATACATGTCTATTGTATAACATTCCTGAGACATGTTTTAAGTTTAGAAAAGCAGAAACAAACCAGTTCCTCAGAGATAAAAGGCAAACTGGTGACAACCAGGTGTTAATTAAATCAAATGGACCTGCACCTGGTTAAGTGGCCATTCTTTTGGCAGGAAAAAGGGTATGAACAAGAAATTTACATCTTGGCAAAGAAACAGCTGGAGGTTCCCGTCCCCACAAACTTTCTGTCTCCTGACCCCCAGCTGGAGATAATTCTCAAAGAAGAGGAAAAGGTGCAAGAATGGGGAACAGAGGCCCCAAATTTCTCCTTTCATCTCTACTCACGGCATTGACAACACTTGAAGGACAAAGGACGGATCACTGGACTGGGGAGGGATCCTGGCAGAACGGAATTCAGCCAGTAAGACTGCTAAAACATGGTGAGAGAGACCTTTGCTTTGAATTCACTCTAACTTGTTAAGTTAGGTATTAGTAGCGTTTATTTTTATTTTCTTGTAACCAACTCTGACTTTTATGCCTCATTACTTGTAACCATTGAAAATTTATCTTTTTGTAGTTAATAAACTTGTTTTATTGTTTTATCTAAAGCCAGTGTATGCTTGGACTGCAGTGTTTGGGAAACTCCATGTGAGATAACAGGATCTGTGCATATCATTTTCTATTAATAAAATGACGGCCTTTATATGAGCTTGTGTTGTCCAGGAGGGAGCTGGGCAGTACAAGACGCACATTTCTGGGGAAAGTCTGGGGCTGGGAATTGGCTGGTGTTGCCGTGCAGTGTAAGAGTGGCTGCCCATACCACTCATATGGTATAGCTGGGAGTAATTTACATGCTGGAGGGTGGGTGAGAGCAGACCAGGAGTCATAGAATCATAGAATATCAGAGTTGGAAGGGACCTCAAGAGGTCATCTAGTCCAACCCCCTGCTCAAAGCAGGACCAATTCCCAGCTAAATCATCCCAGCCAGGGCTTTGTCAAGCCGGGCCTTAAAAACCTCCAAGGAAGGAGACTCCACCACCTCCCTAGGTAACGC